CTTTGAGGAGACTTTACAGCAGCATTTGATAAACAAGGGGAAATGAGGAAAAATCTGAGAAGATTTACACAAATTGGCTAAGCAGACAGGAAAAAAGCAAAATCTGAAAGGTCTCATATCAAGTGGGTATTTAAAGCAAAAACACACAATCTTTATATTAGTAACCCATCTACAGAGAGAAAGTGATCAGCATCTCAGGGGGATACAGTAAAATTTAGTAAGTGAAGAAAGGGGGAAATCTATGCAGCAATATTTGATGATTGGAGAGAAAGGGGGCAAGATTGGAGGGTAGAATATCTGCATATTAAATAATTATATGGTAGAGCAGGAAAATTGGAGGGGATTTATAACAACTTTACTCTAAAAAAATTACAATAAAAGCATGTGCAAAGTCAAGCAGTCTCAGTTAGGCATTGCCAGAATCAAGGATGTCTGGGCCCTGTTAATTCAGCCCCCTTGTGTCTGTGCCTAATTATACAATCTTTAGTGACACAGGATCACACACTGCAGCACTCATTAACACAGATTTGTGGACACCGCAAAACAACAACAACAACAACAAAAAGCCCAAACAGCCCCAAACCAAAACAAATACCACTGCAGCAGAGTCTCAGAGCCTGGGGACAGCTGACTCAGGGTTGTGCAGGGGCTCAGGCTGCAGGGCTAAAAATAGCAATGTAGAGGCTCAGGCTGGAGTCTGGGGTCTGAGATCCTTCCCCCTTGCCAGGATTTAAAGATCAGGCTCCAGCCCAAAGCCAAATGTTGACATGGCTATTTTAGCCCCAAAGCCAAGTCAATTGCCCTAGTCTTTCAGATTTGTTGTCGTGGGTGTTTATTTGCAGTGCAGATGAACCCTCAGTCTTTCTAGTTTCTGGGGTCTCTGATGGAGCACATGTCCCTGACCCATCTCTGTGCAATTCAGCAGCACCTCCTGGTTTGTCCCAGTGGCAGTAATGGGGTTAGATTAGTAAATGGCTAACCACCCCCAAAACAAACACTCTCCCCTCTCCTCTGCGTCACCCTCTCTGCTCTGTCTTAATTACTCTGGGGAAAACACCCTGACTCCTCAGACAAACCATGTGTGGTGTTAGCCCTTCAGACAGAAAACGTAACTGTTCCTAGGGGGGTGCAGGGCCTGGAGCATAGGTGCTAAGTTTGTATCACCCCTCAGCTCTGCCCAGGCCCTGCCCCCACTCCACCCCTTCCCCTAAGGCCCCACCCCCACTCTACCTCTTCCCTGCCCAGTTCCGCTCCCTCCCCTCCAGCACCTCTAGACACTGTGAAACAACTGATTGGTGGTAGGCGCTGGGAGGGAGGGGGAGCTGCTGATCGTCAGGGCCCCCCCGGTGGGCAGAAGGTGCTGGGGGAGAGGTTGGTAGGGTGGCTCCTCCTCGCCCCCCCGCCTGCCTCACCTCCCGGCCTGCCTCCTCACGAAGCACAGGGCCCCCCAAAGCATGGGGCCCAGGGCGGTCACCCCAATTTGCCATACCCTAGGGATGGCTCTCTCTGTGCCACAGATTGTTCATTTTCCCTCTCTGTTTGTGGTGTTGGAACCTTTAAAACTGAAATTCATTTTCTGGGGCTTGTCTGGAGCCTTGCCTGGGCTGAGATGTGACCTGCAGACTTGGAAATAACAACACTTAGATTTCCCATAAAAGATAAAATACCTCTTCAGTTTAAGGCTCTGCTACATCCTGGGGTGCAATCCAGACTGGTGAAGTGCTGGGTCAGCTGTAACCCTGGAACCCCGAATGCTTCACAGCGCTTGGCCTCTGGGATTCTCTGCCTGGGACGCCCACAGTGTTATACCAATAAAAACTAGCAGGATCTTATTAAAGGGGACAAGATAAAGATGCCACATTTATTATGATAACAATTTGATTTATGACCAATAACTAATATCTTAATCCTTATACACACACATTATACCTAATACCTATATATACACACACACACACACTCTCACACACACACATCCATCAGATGTTTTGCAGCTGCTGCATAGTTACCAGTTCTGCTTGAGTCTGTGGGTTGAGTTTGCAGCTTGGGTTTGTAGCTTGTGGCGGCTAACTGGCCAGGAAAGCCAGGCACAAGGACGAGCTGGGTCTCTGTTGGGCATGCACCGATGCCCTTCCATGTTGGCAGCAGAATGTTACCCTCTGTCAAGGCTGTATCCCCACTTTGAACTTTAGGGTACAAATATGGCGGCCTGCATGAAAACTTCTAAGCTTAACTACCAGCTTAGGTCTGGTCCACTGCCACCATCCCAAAGCTAATTCCCTTCCCTGGGTAGCCTTGAGAAACCTTTCACCAATTCCCTGGTGAATACAGATCCAAACCCCTTGGATCTTAAAACAAGGAGAAATTAACCATCCTCCCTTCTTCCTCCCACCAACTCCTGGTGAATACAGATCCAACCCCCTTGGATCTAAAAACAAGGAAAAATCAATCAGGTTCTTAAAAAGAAGGCTTTTAATTAAAGAAAAAGGTAAAAATCATCTCTGTAAAATCAGGATGGAAAATAACTTTACAGGGTAATCAAACAAAGAGCTCAGAGGACCTCCCTCTAGCCTCAAGTTCAAAGCATAGCAAACAAAGATAAACACTTTAGTAAAAAGGTACATTTA